ATTAAATTCAAATTTTTAATATATTTTGACAAAAATTGATGAGATGTGCGTTGAAAAGTTGTACTTATTGAAATTAGCTGTTGCCTTTATCTTGATTTTAATCTCCACCAAGTTTGAATCATATCATCATGTACGACATTGAAATAATTGTATTGATCGAAATTAATAAATAATGCAAACTAGATTACATACCTGGATGAAAAGAAAAAGAATACCCAAGAAAAACAAAATAGTGCCCAATGTGTAAAGCAGTGGCACACCAAATTCCACAAGCCCGAGTTGTACATCGTACTCCATTAGCGGGAATCGGAAATCGATGACGGCAAGATGGGCAACAAGATCATGAATATTCACTCCAATAATTATCACACACCCAATTAGCAGAAGAACCAGCCCGGATTTGGGCTCGTTGGAGAACAGTGCACAAAAACCACTCAGAAGCAAGATCGTTGCAAATACATACAGCCCAGCGTTTATGTACTCTGATCTGTTCCGGGCCAATCTTGGCCCGTACATTCGCTTCTCACGGGCCGATGCTAGCTTCACCATTCTCTTCAAATTTTGTTCTGTGTCTCTATAATCGATGCGAGTGTAAATATAAAATAGAGAGCGATTATGGGGTATCAGACAAAGTGAAGATGTGAAAAATGTAGTAGTTTATGAATGAAGACCGTTTGGGACACGTGGCTTCATGCATGGAGTTTCTGGCATCTGATTTCATGAATAATAGGCAGCAGATGATGACACGTGCAGCTGCTCTATTTTTTAAGCAGGGAAAATTTCACGTTTCTTACTCATTCATCCCAACCTTGTAACCTGGACTTTCAAGTACCCTACCTTTTAGGATCCGTCGGACATGATTCTCGAGAAATTAAAAGAAGCTTTTTAAATTCAAAATCATCACATAAATTAGATCGACTCCATATTCCCTTAATTTGTGTATCATTGTTTTAAGTTAGTTGGATTTAGTAATCACCCTAAATTAGGTCGATTGCATATCCTATTTGTTGACCCCAAAAATTGTGTCAATGATGTGGCCAACAGATCTCCAAAGCTTCTCGCATCCACGTAAGCAGGATTTGATTTAAAAGGGGGTCGATTTTGGGTAGAATAACAAGAATGTGTGCAGCAAGAGTTTTAAATTGAGAGTCTAAAATTGCATTAACCCCGAACGACACTAAGTGTGAGATTTTATACTTGAGTAGGATAAACAAGGTCCGTACTTCCTTGGATGATAGGGCACATGGTTTCATCAGATTGACTAGTCTTTCTTGTTACATGCATCAATTGATCAGTCAATCAGGGTATTAAATGCTAAAACTCCTTGCACGTCTACAAGCCCTAGTTTGTGCAAGTGAGATTTGACCGTGTAGCTGTATAGAGACGGCATTGATAGTGAGTTGTCTTGTCAATCACTTCACCACAAAATCTATTAGGGATCTCTCGTCGCTTCGCCCGAACTGGCTCTTACGCGGGGGGTTTGTTCAAATGGGATCGGCAAATTTTGGTTCATATGAGTGGTTACCCCCTTGCCTATAACAGGGTCGTCTATGTTGCCACGTAAGGTAGGGGCCCTCGAATTCGCCACGTAGGGAGCAATTATTTATATGAGTAACAACAGTTCCCAAAGTTTATGTATGATTATTTATATAATGCGTGGACTTGCTAGTCTAAGAAAGAATACGACTTGGTTAACTAAAACTAGCGACGGGGGTTGCGGGGTACATGACGAGGCTTTGGAGGTAAAAGGTCGAGCCTGTTCTATAGTTGAGCGCTGTGATAGGGCTAAAATGCGTTGTATGAGGCCGTGGGAGAATCTGTTGAGACCCTTTTAAGAGATGAAGCTCGCGATAAGGCTTTAAAATGCTAGGTGAGGCTATTGGAGGTTCGACCGAGCTTCTTTAGGAGGTGAAGCCCATAATAAAGCTTTAAAATGTTAAGCAAGCCATTGGGGGTTGCCGGTGGCATGCTTTAATGTGAGGAGATGCTGATTTCCAATGAAGACAGCTGGGAGGCGTGGCAATTTTCTAGGCTCGAGCTACGTGCACATTTAATGTACAATGATGATGGCACATTACATCTGACAGAGTCTACGCGGATTTATAAGGCTAGTTCAGCACGACGCCATCTGGGCCCTTGATTTGAATTTTGATCAAGAGCCCTTTGGAATCGCCATGACAAGTTAGATTACAAGTGGATGGCCCAGATTAAGTTGGAGAAAGATCCAACGATGAGGGTTCATTCATTATGCATATATAAGGCTGAAAACCTACTACTTCCTTTTTTCTTTCCCCCTGCGAAAATTAAAAGCTAAGTGCTGAAATTCTCCTTAGCCTCCACCATTCCTTGTCTGGCGAGCAGCTCCGTTTTCTTTACTTTTCGGCATCCAGGACCTGTGTAAGTACTTAAATATCTTCAAGTTTTCCTTTAGTTTATATCGAAATGGCCTTCATTTTGAAGAAGTCGTCTGGTGGATCTTCCAAAGTTGACATGGCACTGATTTGTGCCGAGGCGGGTGTGGCCCCCATAATCCATACTAAAATGATTATGGAGGCCATGGGGGTCCTTATAGTGCATGGATGATGTAATAGGGTCATATAGACTTTAGTGTGAAATAGGAGGAAGGGCTCACTGTGGCCCACAGATATTAAAGAAAACGAGTTGGAGAAATTTAGGGAAAGGTTTAGGATTCCTGATAACATAGAGATGTTTGCACGGACCCCTGAGGAGAGGGCCTGTTTCCCTAGGGAAGGATGCGTAGCCGTTAGCGAGGCCATCTTTGGTGGGGGGATGAAGCCGTCCTTGCACCCGTTCTTTAGGTATATCCTTAGGCATTACAACTTAGCCCCTACCCAATTCGTGCCAAACGCGTGGAGCCAAATGGCAGGGGCCTTTCTTCTTTGGAAGGAGGTCTCTCGACGAGGATATGCCACCACACGTTTTTTAGGCCATTTTCAACCCCAAGCTTCTAGTGTGTGAGGGAGGGGAGTGATTGCAAGGGGTGGTATTGTATGAATCCCTGTGGCCCGCATTATCCCTTTATCCGGGGGACCCTGACCTCTATTAAAAATTGGAAGTCCTCATGATTTTGGGTGAGGGGTCACTGGCAAACAGTAGAGGGAGATGCGATCCCAAAGATCACCGTGCCGACCCAATATCATGAATAAAGTGAGTCGAAACTTTATCTAATAATATTTATTTTATGCTCATGTTCACTAATTTGTTTCTTCGGAGACTTATCTTATTGCAAATTTTGTGCAGCTGCAGTTAACCGGTTCGAGCTCAAGCCATCTGATTGGAGGATTATAAAGGCCATTTACGAGCTGCTTTCAGATAGGAGGTCCTTCAATAATGTCATGTGTAAGCGAAACTTGTTCGTTACACACGGATTGATGGCTACTAAAGGTAAGGAAAGTTCTAACTTGTTCGTCATACATGGATGATTTGTTCTTCATTCGCAGGTCAACATGACAAGAAGGAGTATGTCAAGCTGGACATGCTCTTCCTTAAGAGCCTGAAAAAGAATACCGAGCCTCTCCTTCCCCCCAAACGCCAAACAACCATAGGGAAGTCCCTCCGATGACCCATTATAGCAGAGCCCATATCCTCAGTGCAAATGGTTGATGAGAAGGTGGCATAGGATGAGGCTGGCCTAATTAAACTGAGGCGTGGGAAAGAGGTCAAGGAGGTGACCTCTGAAGGAAAAGCTCAAAAATTTCTTACGGGGAGTTCGGATGAAATTTTCTCCACAGTGATGGAGATGCTTCCTACCGAGGTTCAGGGGGCTATGAGGATACATCATAAATACTGGACTGATAAGTATTCTTCATACGTCGAGATCTGTGGTGCATTCCATACGGTGGAGGCGGGTCTCGCCTGCAGGCTCGCTCTCAGGATTCTTTTTAAATGTTCAAATGGAGCTGAGGCGACTGTAGGGCCTCAATACGGATTACCTTGCTAAGGCGAATGATGTCGAGGTTTAGCTGATTAAGGTCAAGGTTGAGGCGTCTTCAGCCAATGAAACAATGGAGGCCTCCAAGGTAAAGCAGGCCAAGGCAAAGTCGAGGGTGGACGCAATTACTAAGAAGAATGATGAATTGAAAAAGGAAGTCCACCTTTGCAAGGCCGAGGTGAATGCTTTAACGAAGCATATGGAGAACTCTGACAACCTCCAAAGGATTGTTCGTCTGCTTTGGAGGTTGCTAATGAGGAGAAGGGAGAGCTGAGGGCTCGAGTTGAAGGGTTGACGACTGAGGTGATCGGCCTAGAGCAGTAGTTGAGTGGGGCGAGGGAAGTAGTAGTTAATAATTATGTTGCCCATTTCCATGAGACGGCGGAGTACCACGACCTTAGTATATATTGGAGGAGGGTCGCGTACAATGAAGTAGTTGATAGGCTCGTTGTGATGCATCCCCAGCTGGAAATTTTTTCCTTAAGGGACGAGTTTTTGTCAGATGATCCTTCCACTCTAGTTGTCGAAGAAGAGGATTCAGTGGAAGAGGTGAATGCTCAGGAAGAGCCCAATCAAGATGTTACTGCATAGACTATGTTTTTATTCTTTGCAACATTTTTGTAATGGTTCCCTCCCTTTTCTCCTTGTAATGGATTTAAATTTATATGGATGAGATCTTTCTCTTTTTAACTTTCAATCTGAATGGATCTTAATGGTTCATGGGCTTGCCTTATTTATATATATGAGCTCGTCATTTTTAACCAGTAAGTTAACAATAAGTTGGCTCGCCACAATTGTACTTTACCCCACGTCCATAACATATGAGCTCGTCATTTTTAACCATTAAGTTAATAATAAATGGGCTCGCCATGATTGTACTTTACCAAAAGTCCATAACGTATGAGCTCGTAATTTTTAACTAGCGAGTAACAATAAATGGGCCCGCCACTATTATACTTTACCAAACATCCATGACATAAGAGCTCATCATTTTTAACCAGTGAGTTAACAATAAATAGGCTTGCCACGATTGTACTTTACCAAATGTCCATAACGTATGAGCTCGTCAGTTTTAACCAGTGAGTTAATAATAAATGGGCTTGCCATAATTGTATGACTTGTTAACAATCCGATGGGTTCGACACAATGTAGGCGAGTTCATTTGCAAGCTTTTCATATTTGAATTAGTGTATGGGCTTGCTATAGCTATTTGTAATTGATCCAAAGCGGTATGGCTTGTCATACTTAACATATGAGCTTGTCATAGTTAAAAACAGAAGATACATGCATTAGTCATAAGAGGTACATGAGCAATGGTCAGGACCTTTACTGATAATACATTCTTAGATGTTCAACATTCCAGGGGTGGGGTTGCACCTTCCCTTCCAAATTTTCAATTAAGAAGGTTCTGGTTTAATGTCGCTTGATATGCGGTAGGGGCCTTCCCAGTTCGGACCCAATGTGCCAATTTCAAGTTTCTTAGAGGACAAAAAAACTCTCCTCAGTACCAGATCACCTCTTCGAACGATTTCTTCCTCACCTTTCCGTTGTAGTACCTTGCCATTTTCCTTTGATAGGAAGCCAACTTCACTTGGGA